ATTCTGACTTTTCTAGCCGGGTCACCCATATTTGGTTAGCCGTGTCACATGGCACGTGACTTAGCCGGATAACAATAGCAATTTGTTATATTAAGAGTAAAATTAAGTACTTTGAGAATTAAATATTAACGAATGCAGGGAAATAAGAGTAGCTCGGGACCTGCTTATCGACGAAAAAAATAGTTTGCTCGATGACGGGCTTCACGAATCTCATAGGATGCTTGGTATTAAGAAAATATATATTGAGGGAAATATTGTCTTTAGTCTTAACAATTACTGTACCCGATTCTCTTCGTTATGTTATCATGTAAATAGTTTAGTAGCGAACACATGTATATAAGCAGCCTGGTAATCTGTAAAGTATACGATGTAAAACTCCCATTGTGTGTTTTCATTAACTCAATAAATTGATCCGAGCGAGAATAATACGCTTAAAGCGCAGAGATTTATAAGTTTATGTAATAATGTATGCGCGATATTTTGAGGTATACGCATTTGCATGAATTAAGCCACCAAGTCGCTATCAAGTACCATTTTAGTATGCTTTAATTGATATATTTATATAAATCAAAACGGAATTGTTTTCATAAATAAAATAAAATAACATATATAATAAAGCCTATATATAAAAAAGTTAAATAAAAATAGAAGATAACAAACTTTTATAGGTTACACTAGGTACCACACTCCAGTTTACTTATTTGCGCAAGTAACAACCAAAAAAGAAAATCGCATTTTGTAAGTAAACCAAGTGAGTAAAGATTGAGGTTTAGGGTTAGGGTGTTAACATTAGAGGCTATAACAATATATTGTTGCTTTTTATATGTGGAATTTTGTTCCCGACATTTTTAATTAAAACATTAGTTTTTGAGTATTTCACTTTTTTCTTCTTTCGCACATGTTTGGAATACACTTTTGTCACTTCGATTATAAGGGTAATAAGTGTCATATGTATTGTAATCAATACTTATGCCATACAAATCGTAAGTGTTGATTATAACACATTACTCTTCGGTATGCTTATTAAACTATTATGTATATAAATGGTTTCTTTCTCTCCACTTGTAGGCGTCGTTCTATCTTTGCCATAAGGTTTTATTAAATAAATAAATATGAACAATGTATATATAATTCTTTTTTGTATAAGGCCTAAAACACCTTATTTTCCTCTCATTATCTAACTCCCCCAACTATTACATACCACAGCATAGCCCGTTACTACTCCTACGTGACTCTCTTCCTTTGAGAGGTGGATTGAGGTTAATACAAATAATGAGTTTGTTAACCAAACTTGTTTGATAGCTACGTATTAGCAAAATTGTAGTACAGAACTGCATTCTGATTTGTTGTCAATTGATACATTATATAGAGTTTCCGTGTAGATTAATGATTTATAGTAAAATTGTAAATAAGTATATTAACAAAAATGGTTGAAATGTGTGTTGGATATAATATACCCTTTTTACTAATAAATTCACTATAGTTATTTTAAACTTTATATTAAAAATTTGATACATTGAGATTAGTCTGTTAAACTGGTTGATTTAGTGTAATGGTATCCATTATATCGATAGACCGATAGTTGCATTTATTTAAAATAAAATGTAAATACAATTAGGCCTTTATATGATATAATTTTAATTTCAACTGCAATAAAATATGCAATTAAAGATATATTTATTTCAAATTGTAAGCATTTAAAACTAAAAATAAGCAATGTAAGATTATTTGACATTAAAAAGTATTTGCAACTCAATAATTTATATATTAAAAAATGGATATTATTAATTATAACCCGTGGCGATCATAACCTAAGATGCTATATCTCAAAAACGCACTAAGAAACAAGGTCAGTAAAAATGGTCGAACCCCTAAAAGCTTTGTATAACCTACAATTCGGACTATTGTATGAGCGCATGAGAGCGAAAACCTGTAATCAATCATTAAATCTATTTCCTTACTTTAGTCTTAACCTGCACCTAACCCTAAAATAGGGGTGATAATCACTATGGGTGTTAATTGTAGTATTTTTTTTTTTAAGAAATATATATTTTGCAAATACACAAAATTATATAATTCTAATTTCTGTTTTATTATGAAGTATGATGTGTGTATGTGATCAAATGTACAAGTTGATTGTGTAAAAAATTATATATTAAGAATTATATACAACTATAACAAATAACCACTATATTACATATAAAATCCAAAGAATAATATGTAATATAACGTTAAATGATATTAACTACAATACTGAGTTAATCCTAATTAACTATGCCTGCCCCTATCCACATAACTCACTATGAATTCTCTTGCCAATTACTTGGATCTACGTTTCTCGCTCTACTACGTAAATAAGTTACAAATTAAATACACTCATTTGTTCAATAAATTAATTGTCGGGTGAGTAGATATAAATTTGGTTTAGAATAAATAGCAGAGATAAATATGGATGAAAATAAATAAAAGTAATAATACGTAAAGATAGTACTGAAAAATAAATCAGAATCCTATTTACAATATATTGTAAATGAAAGAATAAAGCTTCTTTGATACATGCTAAATCCCTTTATTTGATTACTTGGTTTGGAACAACCCACGTACTGTCTTGTTCAGGATGGCAAATTACATGAAGACTTTGCCGTATAAAATGATCGTACTTTATTCAAACATTCTATTTCTTCAACCTTCGAAGTGTTAAAGTCTCTTTTTGTTAATATTGGATATAGTTGAATGTTATATCGTATCAGTAATAGTCATGAATAAATAGTCATCATCATAATCTGAAATGGAATTGTATGAGTCCATAGTTGAATTGACAGGATTTAATGGTAATGCTAGGTTTAAAATTTAAAGCATAAATTAGTAAGTGTTAGTAGAATACTACGTAATTTTCTTTAATTTACTAAATTTCGTAAGTGTACATACTTTTATGATAAGTACTATATAAAACATTTTCTGGATGCAAACTTTGAGATTGTGGTATCTTTAAACTGTGTTCATCTCCTTTTTTAAATCTTTTAGTAATCTCAGAGTCGGGAACAAACAAACATTGATTTAACCAAGTTCCAATCGTCATATATAACTCGAATGCGCTTGGTCTTTTCTCCTTATTACCACACCAGCATCTTTGCATTAAATCAGCATACAATTTTGGAGTATTAGGTACAATGTCAGGTCTTTTTCCTGAGCAAATCTCATCCGTTAAAAAGAAATCATATTTAATGTCACCAAAAGGTGTTAAACCAGATGAGACTTCCCACATAATAATTCCAAAGCTGTATATATCAGCTGCTTTGGTGTATGGTTCATTTCGAAAGAGCTCTGGTGCCATATAAGGTAATACACCACAAACATCATTACTATCATCTTTCCTTGGTGGAATCGCCCGGCCAAAATCACCAATTACAAATCGATGGTTCTCGCCACGGCCTAGACTCCTATTTTTTATTCCTTGACACATCACATTGCGACTATGTAAATCACGATGCACAAGTCCAGACTTGTGAATCTGACAAATACCAGTTGCTATGTCATAAAGAATCTCGAGTTTATGAATATAAGAGAGTGTTGAAAATTCTTTTTTCAAATATGCAGATAAATCTCCATAGTCAGCTAATGTCATCACCATCATATATGCCTTTAATTTAGGATCATAGGTCATGCCATAGGTACGTAAAGTAGTAAAACGACCTGACACCTGGTTATTGGACGTTAGGTGAGATTTGAGCTATCAAAGAAATTAAAAAAATGGTTTGATAAAATGTTATTAAAGTATTATTTGAATTTAATACAGCTTTAATAAAACATGTCAAAAAAGTATTGAGTATACGTGTGACATCACGTTGGATAAGACTGTGGATAATGTTTAAATTAAATGTCACATCTGTATACCACACTTTTAGAGCGGGAGTAAAAATAATTACTTCTTCAAAAAGGCCACTAGTAAAATCTTCATCTTTAAATTCTGACAAACTCTTCAAAGCGACGTCAACGTTTGAGTATCTTTCCCAATCATTTTTTTCAGTATTCCACTTAGTCCTAGGTCCGTCAACCCAATTGGCAGAGAATACTTCACCAAACCCACCTTTAGCAATATATTTAACATTGCTTAATGCAGTGTAAGGAATCCATTCTAAGAAATTAAATTTGGTGGTAGCTGAAAGTTGAGTGTCTCGTATAAAGGCATCAATAATTTTGTTTTCGCTAGTCCACTTATTAAAATTAGATTTGAAATTTTCATGTTCACATGGTTCACACCATTCGTCAAGAAGGTTCTTATGACCACATTTAGTGCAGTAATGAATATGATCATTACTAATTTTAGAAGATTGAGAGGGAGTATTAATAATAACTTTATTACTATTATTACTATTAGTACTATTAGTACTATTATTACTATTAGTACTATTATTACTATTATTACTATTGTCAATATTGTCACTATTAGCACTATTATTTTGTGTAGTACGTATTTGAACCAAAGTATTTAATGTTTGTTCAATTTGGGTTAATTGAGCACCAAGAGCATCAACTTTTCGGTTCAAGTTATAAATATCTTCGGAACGATTTCGCTGGGATGGTAATGAACTATTGCCTGGTTGCTCATTATAAGAAGCTTCAGACATAACATATTTTCCTTTACGATCTGGTTTTACCTTTGCTTTGTTCGGTGCTTGTATTCCAACATTAAATGTTTTGTGGTTTGTAATAGAATTTGTTGAATGTGAATTTGTTAAGGAAGGATTGTCGGTTGTTTCTTGAGATTCATTAGATTGGTATGGTCTAGAAGATATTTTACGAAATAACTTTCCTACAAAGCCATTTAATGTTTTATATCCTGGACCCATACATCCATAACGGTAACGAGTGTTGTTGTTTATTGTATTAGACATTAGTTCAGATGAAAGAAATTAAAATGCTACAAGCTTTAGAATAATTATATATATATATATATATCGAAATTGTATTACATTACTGCGATTTTTTAATAATATAAATTTTGTGTGATGTATATTATAAACATAATGATTTTAAAACAAACTTTATGAGTAAAATAAGGAGATAAATTTATAATTTAGGGTTTTATTTAGTAGATGACGAAACACTGAAACACCATTTCATAAACTATGACCAAGCAAGGTAATTTACTTGTAATGAGCATATTTTTTTAATTAGTAGATTTATCTAGAAACACTTGAAGTCTAATTTATGAGCTATTCAACCATTCATCAACATCTAATTATAGTAATTTTTTGTTTGATGCGCCAAATGGTACGAAAAGTACAATTTTAATATTATCCAGAAGGCACATGGTTTTTCATTTGTTCACTTTTGTAATGATTTTGTAGATCCATATCGTCTGTTATATGGCCTTTGGAATCGGGGAAAATAAAACTAGTAAAATAAATTGTGGTTTATCGAAGCAAATGGTGAAAATTATGATACTGTATATCCTGGGTAAATTTTGATAAGAGATTACTTCTTAAAAGAAAGTGCCGTGTAATCAGAACGAATAATCTCAACCAATAGCGATTTCAGGTGAAATTAGCAAATTCGACATATAGCTATATCGATATTTCATAAATTGCATGATTTATTTACATCCTATATAAAAAAGTATATTAAGCCGGCTTATGAAATAAAGCCGTAAATAACATTTGCTATATTTGGTAATCTTTATGGGATAGTAAGTTTTAAATTTGCATCTAATATTATTGTAGTATTACCATCTATATCGTCACTACAGTTATTCATTGTTTGTAACGCAAAGTAATTACATCGCGTGAGGACAAAACCGCGTGAAGATAAAAACGCGTGATGGTTTATAGTAATAGCGCGATCGATCACATCTAAACTTTCACAATTTTTAATCTTTTCTTCTAGTTTAGTTACAATATATCTTATCCTTCAATAAAGTGGAATTTTTATGTTTGGAAAGATGTAATAAAAGTTCAATATGATTACTTGACCGGCCACACAATCACGGGGTGTATGCCTTTTTGGTTGATGTAGTGTTACATTAAACCTAGGTTCCACGCGGAAAATTCGAAAATTCTTGCCAATGGTGACGAACGATAATTTAGTCCAAAATTAACTCTACTAATCAATCGCAGCCATTAAGTGAAAAATATTCCTGGGATAATTTTACCTTTGGACAGGCCCAAACCCAAAAATATCTATTTTGGGATTAAGAAATTAAAAAAATTTATAATGCAGGCCAAGATTTTGCCGATCACAGTCATTAGTCAATCAAAATAGAGGAAAATTAAATTTCATAAAGGTACATAAAATTACTGAAATTTAACATTCATAGGAAGACTTTCGTATGATTGGCTGTTTAAATCATTATTTATACAGTTTAAAGTACTTTTTAGAAAAAATAAAACTACGAAGAATAAGCATATAAAAAGTTTCTTACGGTTTTAGGACTCAACCATTAAAAATAATCAAATTCATTTCTGGTTTTAGAGAAGTTAGCATAATAACGACTTCTTAAAAATAGACAGAATTAGGTTATTACCATCTTAATCCCCCGATCACTATATCAAGATCACGGCAGGATTAATTAATAATACCCTGACCGTTGTAATCGTAAAACACGAGTCAGTCGCTAATCGGTCGGATCTCTCGTGTAACCTTTAGGGTCGGTAAATCGGGTCGAAAGAGGCGCGTTAGA